TCATATTACAATAGCTCGTGCATTCACCAATTTAATGTTAAAACAAAACAATAACAGTATTTTAGAATTAGACGAGAATCGTGTAAACGTTTATGAAATGGAAATTCGTAAATCTCTGCTGCTCTTCAAAGACTGTCGGACGCTAATACATGCCGAGTAGACGATCACACATAACTTGAAATGGCCTAGATAAACAACGCCGCGGCCAGGAGACGAAATAAAGCATTGTTTTGTCCACTCTTTCATTCGACTAATTGCTTACTTAGCTTGGGTGGTAAAACGCTCTGTTTCTCAGACAAATTATATCTTATACTTTTCTCTTCGATTAATAATTCAGACAATTTGATTTTTTTGCAACCTGAAAACACGCCACAATTTAGCTTATACATGTTTCTGTAAGATAATGTAATGTTTTACGTGAGCGTATGGTGAAAGCTTAGAATTATGGGTTAAAAATGTTATTGTCTGTTGCGTTAGTTAATTTTATCGCAACGTTAAAAAGTCAAAAAACAAACAAACAAATTGTTAGAATAAATATTTTATCTAAAGGAACCCCTTAAGGTTATGTGTGCATAGTGTGTATCGGTTGATTTCTTTATTTTTTCTTTTAAATGAAGTACTTTGCGATTTTTACATCTTAAGTTACCAACCTGTTTTAATACCGTTTACTACCCTTCGTTTCGTTCCCCATATTGGACTATCTTGCATAATTTAACATTCTTGCTTATTACAACAATATAATAAGCTGACAATACAAAATTGGGATAAATTATTCAGTTTCTATGTAAATAACATATGGAACCCCAGAAACAATTGTCGGAATTAAGTGCAAAGTTAGCGGTAGTTTTGTTACAATTTTACAGGTGTGATACATATGTTATTAAGAATCTTGTGACCAGCAGAGTCATGGACCCCCAAACAATTTGGTTCATAAATAATATAGAAAAATGTATTTAAAAGTAAAAGACACCGTATTGTAATTCTAGGGTTAAGGAATGTTAATACGACGCGTTAGGCAGAAACCAGAAGTATGTATTTTATTTGTTTTCATACCAAAAAATCTAGTATTAGCTACAAGAAGCCTTAAAATACATTTGTAATAAACACACTAAGGTTAATCTGGCCGAAAGAACAACTGAAATGCATTTACACATTTTTAGCAAAACACAATTTTCACTTACAAGAAGGATGAGCATTAGATTACAAAAAACAAGAGAAATTCGTAGTTTTCCTGTATCTTGCCAACAGGGAGGAAAAGTGTTTTATTCCGTTGATTATTGGCTTTATTTTCACTTTTGTTTTTGACCTGCGTGTTTAACTGTAACTCTTGTTAGTCGTTCTCGATGCTGAAAGTCAGTAGACCATTTACGCATGCTCCAAGAAAAGAGACACTGACGTCAGCTTAAGAGTAACAAAGTAGTTTTCTCCCACACACAGCAGACATAAACAATATATCTTATTTCCTGCTTCCCGTGTTTCGGTTGGTTTATGCTGGAGTCTATAGTTCTATAGGCGAACCCTTGGTTTTGTTATGTGTGTAACTTGTTCATTTGTTCTTTATTGCATGTGTAGTTTATTCCCTTACAAAACCCTAGGTCGTTGTGATCGACTACACTCATACATAAAAACTAAGTTATATTGTACGAAAACTTGGAAAGGTAAACTACGGTTGAGGTAGCACATTTAGTTACTATAAAATATATAACAGTTTCCACTGCCGCTTCTTTGTAAAGATTCAAGAGTGACTCATTCTTATATATATAATACTTCTTGAAATATACGTATTCTCCATTTGTCAACAAGAAGCACAGAGCTACATTAAAACTTTTCAAGATATATCTGCTGGTTAGCACTGTTGGATTAAAAAAGCAAATTGTTCGACTCCATGTCAAACGTAGTAATAAATACAAATGCTATCTACTTATTGCAAGTTTAAGAACTAAAACAAAACCCAATAACCTGTGACTATAATTTGAACTGTTACTCAAGAACTACCCTTCTGAAGATAGGAAATAAAGAATTTTTCGTCAATCAAGTCAACAGTTCTCCTAAAGTTATGTTTCCCAGTAAGCCTTGCAGGATAAAAAAAAATGTCGTAGAAAGGAAAAGGCTTTGTGTTCAGTCCTATTTCCTTATTGCTCTTATTCTGACAATACTAGAGTAGCTCACTGAGTTTTCGATCAAATAAGCGACCTCAAACTATGTATCCGACAAATACATCGATCCAAAAATGAGGTGTACAAATTAAAACCCTAATTATTTTGAAATGTATGATAATTTTGTATTTATCCCTGACGAAGATGATGTAGATGATGACAAAACCTTGTCGAAACGTTGTACATTTGCTGTTATGTTAGACTTATATTAAAGTTTTTCTACATTACCATTCAAGCCGTCTCCAAGCATTATTAGTTAACTTTTGATTGCGTTTTACCTTTAACAAGTATGCTCATTCTTCGTTTAACCTCTAGAGTATTTTTCATCCAGGTTAGTTGCATTTTTGTTTCACCTCAGAGGTTTATCTCTTTCATTCAACCAGTGATAAGTAATCACGATTTTTAAATTCCACAGGAGGACGAAGCATAATAGTTAGCGTGCTGGGCAGTCAATCCGTGAATTTATCGTTTGCGTCCCATTACTACAAAAATAAATAAAAAATAATAATCTCACTCTTTATTTTCTTGCCGTGGGTGCGTTATAAGTTGGTCAAATTCTATTATTCGGCCAGAAAGGAGCAGTCGAAGAGAGTTGACGGTTGGTGCTATTTACTAGCTGCCTTCTCACCATAGCCTATCAGTTAAAAATGAGGGACGGTTAGAGCAAATAGTCCTTGGATAGATTTGTGTAAATATTCTAAAACATTTAAACAAAACATAAACCTTCCACTCGAACCTGGTTTATTGTAAAGATGGGTAAGTAACTGCACATTCTTAATAATCCAAGATCTGAAATATCACAACGACATCATTTAAACAAAACATAAACCTTCCACTCGAACCTGGTTTATTGTAAAGATGGGTAAGTAACTGCACATTCTTAATAATCCAAGATCTGAAATATCACAACGACAAACATGCACAATGTGAGAAAACGTTTCTACTAAATGTTACTCCAGAACATCTTGCCAAGCAAATAATTTTTTAATCATATCAGCTTACTTCGAAGCTGAGTTTATGAACGATGCTTGTAACTTTATCGAAATAATGCGTTTCTATGGTTAGTTTTTAATTAAAGGCAGAAAATGAAAAATCGTTCTTTTATTTGTTAATTGTGGTAATCAATAATGTTTCAAGTTGTTACTGGTGTCCAGTTTTTATTCGAAAAATTAAAGTTTTCAATATTAGCTTTCGCGTTGGTAACGTTCCCCCCTCCCTTTTTTTTTTCCGAAAGACTTGAAATTTTCAATCCCAGGACTTATAACAAAAACGTAAAATTACTAGAATATTTGTTAAGATATTGTAGTGAATTATTTAGGGGAAAACTCGGATGTTAGCCAATGGCAGAAAGCAAATTACAGGTAGTAAAATACTTATAAGCATTGAAATTTAATTTAGCCAGCATTGATTCAGGACACAAACTAATGGCTTACAATCAGTATTAGCATAACACATTAAGACTAAACGTTTCGTATTTGAAAATCGGAAAATAATTATTGTTAGTCTTATTGTAACTTTATGCTCCCTTCTGACTCGGTGGTAAATTTGGGGGCTTTAAGAAATCGGGTTTCGATACCAGCGATGGGAAGATCACAATTAGCCCATTGTATAGCTCTGCGCTTAACAACAAACAAACTTTATTACAAAGGAAAAGAAGATCTGCACGAATCCAGCCGCTCGAGCTGTCACGTGAAGATTATTTTCTACTGTATTTGTTCTGTTCAAGCTTGATAAACATTGACGAAAGTAATAATATACATACATGCATGTGTGTAAGTAAGTATCTGTGAAGTCGTCACGACTTCAAAACCGAATCGTTTAGGCTTTTATATTAGAATAATATTTACACGAAAGCGTGCAGCTCGTGACTTGTATTCATAACACTTTTGAAATAAATTCCTCCACCACCCCAGAGGGTAAGAAGTTCCGTAATCGCTAGCTTGCCTCCGCCTGTTCATTTCTGAAATATTAGAAAACATTTTTGGTGTGCCTTTAGAATACCAATGGCATATATTTCTCCTATAAGATTTTCACGGAAATCATAAGTAATGAATATTAATAACAAAACGCGCTGCTTTGTATGTAGAATGAAAAATGACCATATGTAGTTCATGTCACTACATTGTATACAGTTATGAAAGACGCGAATAACCTGTATATCTCTTCACTAGAAATTTGTTCAAAGCTATAAAAGGGCTATCTGTAGTAGACGGCCCTAATTTTCAGATGATAGACTAGAGGAAAGACAGTTAGCCAATAACACCCACCGCCAACTCTTGGGCTACTCTAATAGAATAGGGGGATTTGGCCGTTACTCTTATAACACATCCATGGCCTCAAAGTGAAGAGCCCGATTTTACGTGGCGCGAGGCATGTAGTTTCTGATTTACTGGTCACTCTCAGCCTTTCACTGCAAGACGTGTAGTGATTCACTAACAGTCGCTGCGTTTGCAGTCTTGAAATGACGTCTTATCTTTAGATATCACAAGAATCTACTGATATATGTTGTAGCCTTTTCATTCATGATATACTTTCAGATTGACCTAGTCTGAACATTCAAATAATTAGTGACTCTCGTGATTATTATGTGATTGATGTTACGACGTTAATCTTACATATAAGTTATTACATGGTCAAACTGATTCAGTTATAATTATCCTAAAGATTGGTGTTCAAAGGTCTGGAAATGGCCTTTTTTTAAACACCAGAAGTAAAAATAGCGATAGCATTAAAAAAGAATGATTAAGACATAACCACAAGCATTCAGGGGGATCGTATACACTGTGCTTTAAAATATTATTTAATGTTTTGTTATTGGCGATTTTGATTCCGTGATGGTGAAACTTCACTGTTCGGTCAGACAAGAGCAGCAGAAGAGTTAGAGGTGGAAGTTGTTCGCCAGCTACTTTCTCTCTGCTCTATCTGTTGAAAATTAGGGACGGCTTTTTGCAAATAGATCTTGTGTAGCTTTGTGCGAAATTCTGAAACAAACAAAAGACTCTCAATGGATTCACGATTGGAAAACCAAAGTCAAATAATGAAGTCGATTGCTAAAACACAAAACATTTTATTTAGAGGTTTCTTCAGCGAAATCCGAAAACCGTTACAAAGATGATTATTAATACCCCCCCCCTCAATGGTACAGCAGTATTTCTGCGGACTTACAACGCTAGAAACCGGGTTTCGATATCCGTGGTGGGCAGAGCACAGGTAGCTCATTGTGTAGCTTTGTGCTTAATTACAAACAAACAATTAACTAAAACTATAATATCGTAATCACTAGTTTACTTAGTTATTAAGAGAAGTGGTAAACGGAAGGATAAAACAAGAAACAAAGGATTTTAGATATATTGGCAACAGTTGAATTTTAAGTGTGAAATTTCTGAACAATTTTAGATCTAAGGAGTTTTTGTGAGTCGATATTCAGATTTCGCTGGGGATCGAATGAATGTATTCCGAAACCTTCTAACCCTGTAAATAAAGTGTTTTGTTTTATCAACCGTCTTCATCTTAGTTATTAAATAAAAGACTTTATTCAAAAATCTATTTTTGATATCGTATGAACTAAAAGGCAATAAAACTAAAAAATATTAGAGCTACTCGAGTAAGATTTCTTCTTGATGAAACCTAAACAAATGAAGTAAGTAATAAGAATGTTTGAATTATTGGTAATTGAGATTTAGGAGAAATGCCTACCTTTTTTTTTCCTTATTATTATTTTTTTTTGGTTTTGTTTGCTGTAAAAACGGAAAGCACTCAGCACGTAACATAATGTTACGACAGCGCAAGTCACGTGACGCTGGTAACACGTGATGAATTTCTCGAATGATCGGAGAGGCCCGAGTGTACTCGAGATGCCCCCTTCGTTAGTATATAAGCCTGGCGAGAAAAGTCAGCGGGATTGGATGGAATGAAGAGAGTTCCGGGTAATTTACGATTCTGTTTTAAGCTAGTGTGTGTTTTCGAGATTGTGAATTGCTGTGATTTATAGCGTGTATTATAAAAGTAGTTAAGTGACGAGAAACGTACTGGTTGTGAAATTACTGTGTGCTAAAAGTTTGTATCGGGGAAGAATAAACTGGTTTAACCA